TTCTGTTTATTTGCTGAGTTTAGCATAAAAAATGTGCCATACCTTTTGCACAGGTCTTATTTTTAGCCAAATATGTTACTCTCAGCAAAAGAACAGTAATTGTACATTGAAATGTGTAAAAGTGTGTTCTCTGCAGATGTGTAAGTCCCCCCCCCAACAAAACATCACTGGCTGGGGCGCCCTAACTTTTGCATACAGCTGTAAATTATATGGGAGGTAGCCCAGCTACAAGGGGAAAAGTGCATTTATCTGAAGGTGTCTGAAAAGTTCAACTGCAGTGCTTATGAAGCGTTAAATCAATGATAATAATGTGTTTATGATTTTTGACCAAACTTAAATTCAACGGCCAAAAATAAGTGTGCAATACATTTGTGAATTCAGTGTAGATGCGCAATTTTGAAAAGTCAATAAACTGGGACAAAATTCCTGATAAATGTTTACATTTTCATCATTTTAAACTATGAGCATTGTACAATTATACATTCAATTATATCTTAAAACACCTTACAGCAACTAAACAATAAACTAAAAATAAAAGTAAATTCTATTTTTTCTTCTTGTTCACTCGTGGTTCATAGGGCAACTCACTGCTGCATGTGTAAATGGAATAAAGGAAGGAATGAACTATCAGATCACGGATCAGAACGCAGAACGCACATAAATACAAAATGGAACCAAAAAAAGATCAGTTCTGCTTATCGATTTCATGACTGGCATTGATCATTAGCCTTCAATTAGTACTAATAAGTACAATACAATTCTGAGTCGTGGCATCTCATAGTGCATTCAATTATCTCTTCAAGCATCCTAATTTAATAGAAATGCTGTAAAGTCAGGAATGTACACCCTTAACTACCTATGGGGTTTGAGCAAGGCACTTAAGCCCAAGAGGACTGTGTGTAATTTGTCTGTGTCACGCCGATGTAAAAGTTAAGACCACAGCTGCAGGACACAAAGTAAAATAAACCACTACCAGAAAAGAGGTACTGCTTACCATCTAAAGCCAAAAAGCCAAGCTCTCAACAGAAGCTAAGGCATTCTGAGGCTTAGCCTTTGCTCTGATGGTTTCCTGTGCTGATTATTTACTGATTACAGAGCACAGTGCAGTTTTAGGACTGTCCAGGAGCCTGAGGACATTAACAGAGGTCAGGGGGCAGATATGCAGGTTAGGGTTAGGCTGAGGCTGAGGCCTGAGGCTGCTCTCAGAGCCTTTGTAAAGATTACAGTGTTAAAGGTAAGTTTCTGCCTCAGGCTGATAAACTGGATGGTGTGATTATATTTCATTCACCGCAGCAGCTTTTTACTGAGAATGACAGCGGAAAAGGAAAAAATGAGTCAGGGAAAGAGAGTGGACGGGGAAGGCAAGGAAAAAGGGGGCGGAGGGAGAGGAAGAGAGGCTAAAAGACTAAATAAATAGTTATCAGTCTTCCATCTTTGGTAATGAAGAGAGAAGAGATAAGGCACGCAAGACTTTTCACATACACGCACACAGAGAATTAAGCCAAGGTCTGAGTCTGAATATTCATTACAGGAAATTTCCAGTGGTCATATGGATCAGGGCTGCACTGTGATTATACACCGATCAGGCATAACATTATGACCTCCTTGTTTCTACGATCACTGTCCATTTTATCAGCTCCACTTACTATATAGGTGCACTTTGTAGTTCTACAGTTACAGACTGTAGTCCATCTGTTTCTCTGCATACTTTGTTAGCCCCCTTTTACCCTGTTTTTCCATGGTCAGGACCTCCATGGACCCTCACAGAGTAGGTACTATTTGGGTGGTGGATCATTCTCAGCACTGCAGTAACACTGACGTGGTGGTGGTGTGTTAGTCTGTGTTGTGCTGGTACGAGTAGATCAGACACAGCAGTGCTGCTGGAGTTTTTAAACACTGTGTCCACCCACTGTCCACTCTATTAGACACTTCTACCTTGTCAGTCAACTTTGTAGATGTAAAGTCAGAGACGATAGCTCATCTGCTGCTGCACAGTTTGTGTTGGTCATCCTCTAGTCCTTCATCAGTGGTCACAGGACGCTGCCCACAGGAAACTGTTGGTTGGATATTTTGGGTTGGTGGACTATTCTCAGTCCAGCAGTGACACTGAGGGGTTTAAAGACTCCAGCAGCACTGCTGTGTCTGATCCACTCAGGCCAGCGCAACACACACTAACACACCACCACCACGTCAGTGTTACTGCAGTGCTGAGTTTTATTCCTGATCCCACCTGACAGCTGTACTATGATTATTATTTGATTTTAATGATTTGTTTGGTTGATCAACTGAACAGAAGCCACTGGCTCTTAGCAGTGAGTGAAGTGCATTAGCACTGTTTCATTAAGGATGGGAAGGGGTGGGCATTCCTGCCTCATCACACAATGTAGAATCTGTTCTCTTCTCCTCCATACTGCTCCATCACGTTGGCCGCTATAGCTCACCCTCTGACCCCCCAGTATCGCCATGGTAACAAGCCCCACTGTATCTCTTTTATTACTGCTCGATTTCTGTGTGACCTCGGTGTCTGTTTCTCTTCATGTGTGTCTTCGGTCTTCTACCGCAAACGGTCTTCATGCCTCTTTTCTACTGTCTTTCTCGCTCACTCAGCTTTTTCTGCTTTGGTACAAGCTCTCTCTCTCTCTATGCCTCTGTATTCTGGCTGCAGTGCTGCATTTCTTATCCTCCTCTGCACTCTCTCGTTCTTTTGCACAGCAGCCCACACACTCCTCGGTGGAATGTGTTTACGCTCTTTTCTTCTTCTCATCATCCTTCTTTCTTTCCTTTCTCTCTCTGTTTCCTAACTTTTTCTATAGGTTTATGCAGCTCATGACGCCTGGTCGATATCTTAATAATCCTGATAATGCGCATTACAGAGCTGCCATGCCATATTTTCTCTTCATCCCAAATGTAGTTGATCCGTTTTGCACTAAAGCTACAAGGCTAATGTAGCTTACAAGTAATGATGCATCAAAACAAACAGTTCTTGACCAAAACCAAAATTCAGGACATACTCAGCTGAAAATTGATGCTTAAAAGACTATAATCGGCATGGAAGGAAAGAAACCTGAGAGAATTAGAGGACTAATGTCATTTTAAACAGGTTGCTAAATAACATTAAACATTAGAAGTTGGACAGTTATAAAAACATAATCTTTCATGGTTTCCCAAATTCAGCTAAAGCTGAATTACACAGCGCTTCCACTATTACAATGAAAGTGGCTATGGAAGTTCCACTAAGCAGTCCAAGGTTTCTCCAGCAGGGGGTGCTACTAGTATCCATGTCGCTTTACTGTTTATCATTTAGAGAAGCCTCTCATGCTTATTGCTTTAATAGACTTGTTTGTAGGGCTGGACAATATGAAAATATATATTGTTATTGTGACAAATTATGTCACAATACAAAACAATACGGTTTTCTGAACATATCATGGATATTGTAGACACTGACCAACTGCACCTTTCATCATAAACAGAGTAAAATTAGTCCTGTTTAACTGGATTTAGTGCAACACAGTGGGTGGAATATTAAATAAAAATCGTGTTGACAGCTTTTGATTGTATTTGTTTTTTATGTAGGCCTACTGGTTCTTTTTTTTCTGATAAGATGCCTGAAAAAGTAAATACTGTGACATATCATGTATTGTGAAAATGTATTGAAGTGTCGCAATATTCAATTTTTGCCATATCGCCCACCTCTACCTGCTCATGTGATTGGGTATGATACACTGAGGCTGTTTACATCTTGCATCAATGTGTTTTTGGTGATCGGATCATGTGCGGATTTCACCTGACCACATAAAAAGCAAGGTGTAAACACCCCTGCACTGTTATCAGATTACGGTCTACATTCGGAAGTGATCAGAGATGGATCTTGATCACACTCAACATAAATAAATAAGTTTTCTACATACTCATCAGTGGTGGACAAAGTACACAAACCCAGAACAGTACACTGAAAATAGAGATACCCTTGATTCTGAACCTTCTCTATTCAGAGGTTTACTTGAGTTTAAGTACAAAAGGACTTGTTTTTAATTGTACTTAATTGTCAAAGGTAGAAATATTGTAAACTATTCCAACAATCCAACATTTCTCCTTCTCTTCACTTTAAGAAACGGGTACAATTCTAGCTTTGAAACTCTACGGATATTGAGTATCTGATACAAACATACCCCACATAACATTACAGCATTTCATTCTAGTCCCACTTGCTACGATTGGACATTCAGTATTTAGAGGAGGGATTTAATGAAGGTTGTGCTATGACTGTTTTGATTTATTTGTGACCGTGCCCAAAACTCTTTTGTATATTGTGGAAAATCTTTTTTTAACTTCATGGTGACTTGCAAAGTAGCGGATCAAAAAGTAGGATATTTTACTGTGAAATATCGTTGAGTGAACATAGAAGACAATTTTGCGTGAACAAAAAAGAAAATTTTATAAAAGTACAGATGCTTGAAAGAACTACTTAAGTACAGTAGTGATGTATATGTACTTTATTACCTGACCTGAAAACAACCAAGCTCAGAAAACAATAACCTGTAGGGGAGTCTGGATGCATCATTTCTAGCCGAAGATTTTTGTGACTGTAACATGGGAATTCTTGTTTATTCCCAGAGTAAAATACAGGGGTAACTGCTGTAAAATTACATCGTTTTTTGAGACTATGTAACAACTATGCAAATACAAGTCATGTCCAAAAATTGTACAGTATTTTAGATATTTTGACTTTTTAAAATTAAAAATATGTTGCTTTCCATACGAATATAAAGTGGTCAGTGTGCGACCCCACATCTGTTACGGCTCCATAATGGTATATGGCGCTTGGGCCCCGATGATTGCCACTTGCAATGTAACTTGTAGACAGTCGTTAAACTCTCAGAGCTTTGAGCACATCTAGCATGTCTTGTCCGATCGACTACACTTGGATTAGGGGAAAAATTGTGGAAATGAAATCTTTGGTCAAACTGTTGCTTTAATAGCAGAAAAGTGCTTCTTACTGTCAGGAGGAGGTGGAGGGAAGTCCTCCTGTTCCATGCTGGAAGCTTTTCTATCAGATTAGGCTCAGGGTCAACAGAGGTCTTCAGGTGGAGGACCGTTCAGAGACATGTACACACCTGCAGGAGGGAGATGGAGAGGGAAGTGAGCATAAGCAAGAAACACTCACACATTACAATGCAACAACAAAGAAATCGATCATCCTCTCCAGAGAAGTGCTCACTTCAACACAGCACACTCCTTTCTGAGGATTTTGCAGCTGTGCTGAAGGAACTTTGCGCTCGTGTTAGTGACAGGGGGCCAGACTCTGCCTCTCAGGTCGAGGCTACTATTGTACTAGAGGAGCCTCGATAGTATTGCAGCCAAAGCTCCTACCTGGAATGTTTGGAAAAATGACTCCATAGACATCCAGTCAAAACATCACACTCATTTTGTAACTGCTCAAAACAGTGTTCAGGTAGTACACTGAGCTCTTTACAACCATTCTGTTATTGTTTTTTTTCCCCCACAGGGAATGATTGTTTTAAAAGGGAATTCCACCAGTCTGTTCACAGCGGTGGTGACAGGAATCAGACGTCTGATGAGTTTAATGTTTAATGCCAAAGTTTTACGATAGTTTTTAGGCCAAAAACGTATATATTTGTACATTTGTTCATGGTGGAGAGGTACACGCAGACTGTTCTGAGACAAAAACAACATGTGAAGGTCCTAGTTACCTTGGTCAGTAAACAATGTGGTTAAATTTGTGTTAGGGTCAGGCATCATGTTTCTATCACCACCACTGTAAAGAATTCCCTACGACACATTATTCCATATAAACCACTCTGAAGGATTTTACATCATAATGATCGAATATGCAGAAATTTAGAAATTTTATCTTTAAAATGTTCCATATCAATGTATATCACTGATGTCAGAACAAAACCTAGTCTCTTCAAAATGGTAACTTTATAGGAGAAGGAAAAAACATTCTTCTTTTTATGTAAGTCAGTAGAACCAGACTCACCCCACCCCACCCCGAGTCATTTTGGGCCGTTTCTTTTGGTTCACTCCTCATGAAATTTACACACAATGTAAAACAGACATTTTCAAATTATGCTAAAAACTGAAAAATGACACAAATGGAGATACAAGGTTTTGTTCTGACAGCAGTGACATGTTTATTTCTGTTATAATCAAACTAACAGTACTAGTAGATCCTACTGATCATCACTTCATGATGCATGTGAGCTTGAGGCTGTAGCAGAGCCAGAAGCGCTGACAAAACACATGAGTAACCTTGGATGTAGTGCTGCATAATAGCAGTCATGAGGTGCCAGTAGCAGACCCCTATCAGAGATGAGTGCAGTTGAGTGCAATTATTGTGTTGAATTATATAAATATTAATTTGAATTTACAACCCCATTTCCAGAAAAGTTGGGACGGTGTGAAAAATGTAAATAAGAACAAAATGCAATGATGTGCAAATCATTTAAACCCTATATTTCACTGAAAACAGTACAAAGACAACATCAAACTGAGAAATTGTTGTTTTTTGAAAAATATTTGCCCATTTTGAATTTTACAGTCAATGACAATGACAGTCCACACCTGTCACCCATTAAAAACATTTGGCACATTATGAAATGAAAAATACGACAAAGGAGACCCTGAACTGTTGAGCAGCTGAAATCCTATATCAAATAAGAATGGAAAACATTTCACTTTCAAAACTACAGCAGAGTCTCCTCAGTTCCCAAACGCTTACAGAGTGTTGTTAAAAGAAGAGGTGATGAAACACAGTGGTAAACAGGCTCCCGTGCCAACTTTTCTGGAACGTGTTGTTGGCATCAAATTCAAAATGGGCATATATTGGGCATAAAAAACAATAAAATTTCTCAGTTTCAGCATTTGATATGTTGTCTTTGAAGTATTTTCCTTTAAAAATATGGTTTACATGATTTGCATATCATTGTATCCTATTTTAATTTACATTAAGTAAATTACAAGTTGAGTAAACTACATTTACAATGATATGTGAAGTTGCAACTGACAAAGCATCCCATTAGTTTAGTATAAAATTCAAATTAACATAAATGTTATTTAATATTCAGCTGAAGCTGAGGGTTTCCGATGGAAACCTTATGCATATAAATGGTCCATTATGACATTTTCTAGCCATGGAAAAGCTCGTAAAAGAGGAACAGTGGAGAGGGGTTATGGTTAATGAAGCCTGGTCTTTCTTGGACTCCGTGACTTGCTGACGCTTCTCATGAAATCACCTTCCCTTCAGCTCTATCTCTGCACTGATCTCACTCCCCTCACATCACCAACTCCCACCGAGCAAATCATCAACTGGCCAGTTTAATCCTGAGCGCTCATGCGTGCACTTGTTTTCCAATTAAACGCAGATTGATGCATCCTACTAAATTCAAGTCAGTCATTCTATGTTGACTATAATGTGGCGGCCACTCTACACACACTCAATGAGCACTTTATTAGGAACACCTCCTTGTTTCTACACTCATTGTCCATTTTATCAGCTCTACTGACCATAGAGTTGCACTTTGTAGCTCTACAGTTAGTCCACCTGTTTCTCTGCATACTTTGTTAACCCCCTTTTACCCTGTTCTTCAATGGTCAGGACCCCCACAGGACCACCATAGAGCGGTGGGTCATTCTCAGCACTACAGTGACACTGACGTGGTGGTGGTGTGTTGGTACGAGTGGATCAGACACAGCAGTGCTGCTGGGGTTTTTAAACACTGTGTCCACTCACTGTCCACTCTGTTAGAGACTGTTACCTTGTTGGTCCACCTTGTAGATGTAAAGTCAGAGACGATAGCTCATCTGCTGCTGCACTGTTTGTGCTGGTCATCCTCTAGTCCTTCATCAGTGGTCACAGGACGCTGCCCACAGGACGCCGTTGGCTGGATATTTTTGGTTGGTGGACTATTCTCAGTCCAGCAGTGACACTGAGGTGTTTAAAAACTCCAGCAGCACTGCTGTGTCTTTTTTTCCCCCATAGCGTTCAAAAATGCTGGCTGCCCTTCACAGTGGTGTTACAGGTTCATGATGAATGGACCAATAACAATGCTCCAAAATGTTCCATAATGTTCCATTCAAAGTTAAGAACATTTTGCTTCACTTGCAGATTTAGCATTTTGGAGATACAAGGTTTTTTGTTACAACAGGAACTATGTATGGCCCAAGTACCATAATGATATATACAGCTTAAATATTACAATAAAAATCAGTTTTTCTAAATATATCATGGATCATCAGCACTTAAAACCCCACTAGACGTTTCATCACGAAGAGAGTACAATTAGTCCTGGTTACTGGATATGCTGCAGTGCAGTATGTAACACGCTGAATAAAAACACTGTATGGTACACATATTGTAAAAATATCATGCTCTATCTCGCTGAAAACCTCATATCTCTAAAATTATAACTTCAGAGGAGAAGGAAAAAACACACTTTGACTTACATTAAAAGTAATGGAACCAGACTTTTTTCCAAGTCATTTGGGGCCATTTCTTTTGTTCTATTCATCATAAAATGTACACACAAACAGGCCTTTTCAAATTATGTCAAATACTGAAAAACTACAAAAATGGAGTAATATTGGGCACTTCTTTTTTTTGTCTGTTTCAACTTATTGAACCTCAGATAAACTAAATATTGTGAAAATGTCTTCAAGTACTGCAATGTTATACACTCTCAGAAATAAAGGCAGTAAACTGTCACTGGGGCAGTACCCCTCCTGTCACTGGGGTGGGACCCTCAAGGGGTTATCTCAGTACCTTTAGTCAGGGAACATAAGTGAACCATAATCCACTGAAATGATATTTTCTGAGTTGTACTGACTCCACACACCCCGTCTCGTCTCCAGGCTTTTTATTTTACTGTTCTGTTTTAAAACATTGGGTTATGAAAAGGTACAAATACGAACTTTTTACCTGGAAAAACTTACTTAAGGTTCACAGTCAGACCTTAAAACCACTGTTGTACCTTTGAGGGAACCTTTACATTGTTTGTACCTTGAACGAAAAATGTACCAGCACAGAACCTTTATTATTTCCAACAGTGTACATTTTCCATATCGCCCACCCCCATTTGTTACTATCAGGTTAAGTCTATTACTATTGTTTGCCCTTTTTTTTTTAAACCGATTACTCAAGTAAGCATCAAACATCCAGAAGATTATTTGATTACTAACAAAATCTATAGGCATGACACTTCATCACACTCATGCTGAAAAATCTCCTTGTTTTGTGGGTTTTATGAAAAATTAATGAAAATGCACTGTAACTACCCTCAACTTGGTAGGCTAGATTATATGAATGCCAAGGCTCAGACATCAGTAGGTCAGAGGAACAGTGATGTCATTCTGTGGAATAGACGGAATAGAGGGCTAATTGTAGAGGCCGTCTGACACATGTTCACTGGGTCAGTAGGAGGAGAGACAAAGTCTCGGCTTCAGCTCTTTCTCCCACACGAGTCAATAAGATCCTAGTACACGTAGCGCATACATGTCACACACTGGTACAGCACACAACGCTAAAGTCAATGACAACAGGGCTGCTTCGTATGGACATAAAACACAATATTCGATAAAGCTGTTGGATTTTTATTGACTGTATGGGAAATTATTAATAAAGAAGTTTTCCTCTGGCTGGATGTGCTGCATGTAAACAGAAATACAACTATAAGAAAATAGCAAAAAATAAAGATAAAAACAAATAAAAACAAAAGCACCTTTCACTGATGGGCAAAATAAAAATAATGAAATACTAACAGTTACTTACATCTGAACCACAAGCACACTGTTGTGCACTGTAAGGCAAAATAAGGACACACAGTGTTACTGATGTGGAGCACTGTTCTTTTTATTCATCGAAAGCTATTTGGCTGATGACAGCGCCCACTAGTGGAGAACTCTGCACAGCTTTTTTCTTTCTCAGCCAGGCAACAAACATATGAATACAGTACAGTTCAATACAGGCCTACAACAATGAATAAATATACATTTAATTCCTTAAAGAAAGTTCCTTATGATGATGCAGATTTGTTGTGACCATGTAGCCATTACTGGTTTATACATTTTACCATATTCATTGACAAAAAAGCAGCCC